AACGTTGAAAAAAAAAAAATTAAAAAAAAAACATCTCCCCTTTGCCCTGGTGCTGCCGCCTGACTGGAGACCCTCAGCGTTACCCACCTTCCTAAACCCGGATGTGCATTAAAATCCCCCAGGAGGTGGGGAAAACAGGTGCTTGGCTCTACACCAGACCTACCCAACCGGGCGTCCCAGGGGCGAGACTTCAGCCGCTGTGACAAGGGATTTTATAACCGGTAGGGGTGGGGGAAGAAGAAATGGACTGCTTGTGTAGGCCGGTGGACAACCAGCACAGGAATGCCAGTATTTCTTTCTATAGACGTTTCCTGTATCCACTCTCCCTCAAGTCCACTCTCCTTTCAGGTGGCTAGAGGGATGGTTACGGTTTCCCCACTCATTGACTGGACGGCTCACTCTGCCCCCACCGGCAGTCTTCCTGTGCACCTCTAACCGCTTCCACTTCTGTTCCCTTTGCTTGCCACCCTTGACTCCCCTGAACTCCTACTAAGGCAGCAAAACCCAGCCCCCGACCTCTCCTTTTGTGAAACAGCCCTTTGACAGATGTTTGGAGTGCTAGTCATAGCTTCTTAGTATTCCCTAGGGACAAGGCTGCCCTCCCTTTGACTGGGGTCTTGTCCATCTGGCGTCTCCAGTGCCAGTGACGTAAAACTGACCGTATAGGAAAAGATGAAAGGCTCTCCCCACGGCTCTGGATGGGGACGCAGTACCACCCGAGCCACCCGAGGGGCGGTGCCCGGGTCCTCGCGGGTTGTCTCACCCAGTAGCTTGATGGCCTTGGTGGTCCCGTACACGTCCATCACGGCCCAGAGGGGGGCGCCCATGAGCACGCCCTTGCGCAGCAGCAGCCGGGGGCCCGAGTTGACCCTGACAAAGAGCCGGCCCCTGCGGTTCACCCAGAAGCAGACCACGTCCCCCGCCAGCGCGCAGCCCTCGGGCAGCATGGCAGCCCATGTCGGGCTCTGCAGCTCCAGGTCCGGGCACACGAAGGGTGGAAGGCTGGGCGCGGACACCCGCGCGGGGTCCAGGCGCGTGAAGCCCACGCGGAGCCCGCCGCACCAGCCGCCCTCGTGCCACACCACGCGGACCGCCACTCGCTCCCCGGGAAGCACCGGCCGCTGGCTGAACACGATGCCGTCGTGGAACGTGGCGTTCCTGCGCGCAGTGCACCGCTGGGCGTCTAGACGCACCTGCGCGCCCTTGGCCTCAGGGTGGAAGCGCAGTGTCTCCCGGGGCGCCTTGGTGTCTGCGGAGATGGGGGTGGGGGGGTGGGGGGATGGTGACGTCAGTGTGGTCTGGATTCGGACTCATTTGTTCCCCAGAGCTATCTCCGCCCCCCACCCCCGCATCTCCCCGGGGCCATTGCCCCTGCCCTCATCCAGGGAGCCCCCAGAGACCTGATTAGAGCCTGGTGAGGAGCACACTTTGCATGTCTGGGATCTGAATTCCCCCACCTCAGTTCCCCTCCCGGAGGGATGTTGTAAAATCACGCCTACATGTACCGGCTCTAAATACCTAGTCACGGTTATTGGCATTAAATAGAAAGAGCAGGTGTTAGAAATAGTACACATAATATGATCCAGGTTTTGTTCGACACATATGTTTAATATACACACATATATTCTCCCTGTATCTAGAAACAACCTGAGAGGAGATGGGTCTGCTAATGGTGCTCAGCTCTGGCAGACGGGTCCTGGTATTGCAGCTGTTTTCCTCTCTGTTTGTCTGACTTTATGATTGTCCCACAGAAAACCTGCATCATTTGTGAAGGCCATGGCCCCCAGTGAGGGTGACTTCCTTTTCCTAGGAGAGAAAGGGGTCCAACAGCTCCCCCACAGAGCCAGGTGGGGCGGCACAGGCTAGAGAGGGAGTCCCAGGTTGTGGCGGGGGCGGGGTGTCAGAATGGTGGGCTGGGCCAGCCAAGGCCAGGGCTGAGCTTTGAAATCCGGGGACTTCCCGACCCCAGTCCACTTGGCAGTCGGGAGGGGAAGTTCCCTACTGGGCAGCCTTTCCTCTCAAGCCTCAGGCCTGAGCCTGGAGGAAGCTGGTGAGCTTCCTGAGCCAGAACTGCTCTCCTCCCTTACCCCCCTCTTGTCCTGTTCTTTCTTGGTTAGAGGAGGGAAGCTGAAAATAGCGAATTCAATCAGCAGGAGTCTGGGTGGCTCAGTCGGTTGAGCATCAGCTCAGGGCATGATCTCACAGTTTGTGAGTTTGAGCCCCACATTCGGCTCTGTGCTGATAGCTCGGATCCTGGAGCCTGCTTCAGATTCTCTGTCTCCCTCTCTCTCTGCCCCTCCTCTGCTTATGCTCTGTCTCTCTCTGTCTCTCTCTCAAAAATAAATAAA